CACTATGTGTTTTGGTACATTAGTTTGTTTGCTGTCTGTTTTCCTTCCTCTCCTCTAGAATGTAAGCTCTGTGAAGACAGGAAGTTTTTTTCTGCTTTATTTCTTTATCCCCAGTGCCTCAGAATGGGAAGCACATGGTAAGTGCTGAATATATATGCGTTGAATGAATGAATAACTGAACAAATGAATGAATAGCGTCTGCGTTAGTCTGTTTTGTATTGCAATAAAGGAAATACTTGAGGCTGGGTAATTTATAAAGAAAAGAGGTTTATTTGGCTTGTGGTTCCACAGACTGTACAAGAAGCACGGCACCAGCATCTGCTTCTGGCGAGGGCTTCAAGGAGCTTCCAATCAAGGTGGAAGGTGAAGGGGACGCAGGTGTGTCACATAGCGAGAGAGGGAGCAAAAGACAGAGGAGGTGGGGCCAGGCTCCTTTAAAACAACCAGCTCTCATGTAAACTAACAGAGCAAGAATGTACTCATTACAGGAGAATGGCACCAAGCCATTCATGAGGGATCCACCCCCATTACCCAAACACCTCCCACCAGGCCCCACTTTCAACACTGGGGATCAAATTTCAACTTGAGATTTGGTGAGGACAAACATCCAAGCCATATCGGCATCCTAAGAATTTATCTTTAGCTGCAAGAGAGACTGTTCTGGTGGATTAGTAAAGGCCATTTTAGAATGCCACTTCCTGAATGATGGAGCTCCCGGAGGCTTTAGATAATGATTTTTCATCGTGTGTGTAGTGATCAGTCAGTCACTGGGGTTTAGTTTGAAGAAAAGGACTGTTAGCCATTTTATCTACTAGGAGTTGCCGCTGGAGTTATTTTTCTGCTTCCCCGTTCTCTTTAAAGTAGAGGCAAAGTGAGGGAAGCTTAAGAGAAATTATCAGAACCCAGAGCACAATCTGGGCATAGTTCCTGCATATTATGGCCATCCTATCATAAACTCCATGACACTGTTTTTCTCCTAATATGGCCCTTGTGAGGTCACTGGAGAATGCTATTGAGTTTCATAAGAAGGGTCTACACCAAACCATTAACAATGCTTTCCTAGTGGATTATGGGAAAGGGTACTTTTCACATCAGCTGTATATACATCTGTATGGTTTCACCTTTTAAAAGGTTTAGTAAAGTATTGCAACTCTATAGAGAAGAGCATAAAATTGAAAACAAATCACAATTCGCAAGAATCCTGAAGGAAAAGAGAACATTTTGAAAACATCAGAAGAAAACAATGGGGAAAAGAACATTTTAATTGAAACCTTGGACTCTCTGCCTGCGTTTGACATACAATAATTTATTGTGTGGCCTTTGTCTAGTTTTTTTTTTTAACTCGTTTGCATCATTCCCTCATCCAGAAAATAAACATAATAACAGCCCTACCACACAGAGTTGTGAGGACTAAGTGAAATAATACTACATACAAATTGCTTAGAACAAGGGTGTCAACAAGCAACTACTCAATAAGTATTAACTATTATTATCATTTAATAGGTAGAAAGTATAGTAATGACGAGATGTTTTACAAAAGAAAGAGGCTACTGTGTTATTTCTCCTCCTTTTGCATCCCTCTGGTCCCTTTAGGCCCTATGCCCGTGTCAAAATGTCAAATGCCCACAGAGGTCAGATGAGAAATGTGAGGAAGGAATTTAAAGAAGACAGAGAGATGCAGAACTCTGAAGAAGCAAAGACCATATGCATGAATGGGAATCGTTGCCATGAGGAAATGTAGGCCTCTGTTGCAAGATCTTAATTAGTATAATGCTACACATACAAAGTAGACATTTGGGAAACAGGAATAGACTACATTAATTTGGGAATCTCTTAGGAGATAGAAGAGGTTACGAAAGCCTGAAGAACACTACATAGCATGTCCTTACAAAGGAGGAGCCAAAATTTGAGTCTAGATATCTTACTTTAATGCAAAATGCCTAAGAGGTTTAATATAAAGTATTGGCCCTTGGTCCTCTAGTTTATGAATTGCTGCTCAGGTGAGGCAACAGACAAGCAATAATATCTATTGAATTGTTACTATATTCAGCTTAAGTGCTTTTACATACTTTATCATACCTTATCACATCTAATTTTCATAAATACCCTTTAAATTAGTTAATTATATTTCCACTGTGACTAGATAATTTAATGAGCTACTAGAATGTATTTTATTCCTTCTGTATGTTTTTTTCCTTTTATTACTTTGAAGGTTTTATGCTTGGGACAAAGGGAAAGAGATTAATGCTTCTAAAAGCAGTGAGTGGGGAAAGAAGGTGCAGAGAGAGGGGAGGCTCTGGTTCCACCCCCCACAAAGACTCGGGCAGGAAACTTTACAGCCTTCAGGGGTGGGCAGGAGTGTTGAAGATCAGATGGTGAAATGGTGCACACAGAGGCTGACCCTAGGAATAGAATTTTCCCAGGAACAGACAAGCTCTGCGAATTCTTCAAGGTGGCTCAGAGAAGTTGAGTGATTTTCCCAAGGTCCAAGAGCAAGTGAGTGACAGAACTAAGAATCAACCTCAAGTGTGTCAGACTCCAAAGCCAAAGCTCTTAACCACTCTACCGAACTTCTTAGCATCATTGATTTTCTTCTGATCATGATTAACTATTGTCCTGCCATATGTATTTCTGGGGTCAAGAGTTGGTAGATGTACACATTTAGAAATGTTACTAAGAAATGGTAGTGGGACAGTATGTAGTCATGTGTAATTCAGCCACTGGCCTTAATCCTACTAGGTTAGCTTTGATTCCACATTCTTGTCTATGACACAGACTTTCTTCCTAGAAATGTGGGCCACATTCACTCAATAAAGTTGCCATGATGAATATTTGCAAGTATATTTACTTCCAAGCCTTTATTTTATACTTCAGTAATTTCTGCCATTAATATTTATTATTAATCTATAAAGCCTACATGATTGTACCTAAGTAGGTGACCTAAATTAGCAAATTTCTGTCCTATCAACTGCAGAAGATTTATCCGTTCCAGGTGTAATTAATTTTTTTCTCACTGATTCTCTGGGGAGATTTTGGAGCTTTTTTTCATGGCCATTGCTTCTCAGCTAACCGGCAAAATAGCCTGAGCAGCTTTTGAAAGTGCTGGATGTCTGATAAATGTCTAGAACTTTTATTTAAAGATAAGGACAGAAGGTGATCCTTCCTCTGTGAATCATAATATCAGACAAAGAAAAAATCTTTTGGTATACTTGGGGTAAAAAGGGTACAGTGAGTGATACACTTGATAATTTAGTTTAGTGAACAGATTTCTTACCTACCTGTTCTGGCGACAGGCAAGTATAGAAATACACAAATGAAAAAGTCTCTATAGGTTTAATAAATAAAATTGATAAAAGAAAAGGCATCTCAGATCAATTTAACCTGTCATTTAGTGAAGAAATTAGAAATAAAAGGTCAAAGAAATAATCTTCTGTGTCTTAAAACTTCTTTAAACCACATTTTAATCATGGGGAGAGGGAGAAAGGGAGATGAGGGAGACAGAAGCTAATTAAAAAACAAGCAAACTAACCAACCTAGAAACTCAATGTGACCAGTAGATTTAAAAGATAAATCATTATTGAAAATTCCTTGTTATCTCACTGTCAAAGTCAATAGGATAAATTATTATTGTTCAAAAATGTTCCCTCCCTCCCTTCTACTTCTGTGAAAGGAATCTATTTTGCCATGTCTTGACTTTGAACTTGACCACATCCTTATTTTGGCCAATGGAATGTTAACGAATGTGGCAAAAGTAGAGGCTTAAAAAGTGCTTGTGTAGTTGAGTGTATCTTCCTTTTTAAAAAATATTTAAAGCATTTTTATTCATAATTACCAAAACTTGGAAGCAACCACAATATCCTTGAGTAGGTGAATGAATAAATAAATTGTGGTATACCCAGACACTGGAATATTATTCAGCACCAAAAAGAAATGAAATATCAAGACATGAAAAGACATGCAGGAGTCCTCGAGTAGGTGAATGAATAAATAAATTGAGGTATACCCAGACAATGGAATATTATTCAACACTAAAAAGAAATGAAATATCAAGACATGAAAAGACATGGAAGAAACTTAAGTGTATATTGCTATGTGAAAGCCAATCCCAAAAGGCTATATACTGTATGATTTCAAGTATATGACATTCTGGAAAAAAAGCAAAGCTATGGAGACAGTAAAAAGGTCTATGGTTTCCAGGGAATGGTGGGGGGAAGGATGAATAGGTAGAGCACGATGGATTTTTAGGACAGTGAAACTATTCTATATGATACTATGTTGGATACATGTCATTTTCATTTGTCAAAACCTATAGAATATACAAATAATGAAATCTAATATGAACTATAGATTTTAGTTAATAATGTATCAGTATTGAGTCATCAATTTTTTTTCAGAGACAATGTCTATGTTGCCCAGGCTGGAGTACAGTGCCTATTAATAGCACAATCATTGCACATTACAGCGTGGAACTCCTGGGCTTCAATGATCCTCCTGCCTCAGCCTCCCTAGTAGCTGGGACTACAGGTGCACACCACAGTGCCCAGCTCTGACTTATCAATTGTATCAAATGTACCACACTAATGCCAGTTGTCAATAATAGAGAAAACTGGAAAGCAAGCATTGCCCAGTGTATACGGGAATATTTAGGAACTCTGTTTTTCGTTCAATTTTTCTGTAAATCTATAACTGCTCAAAAAAAAGTCTATTAAAACAAAACCAAATTATACTCCATATACCTAAATCTTTCATAAATCTGTATTCAAGGCATCAGGAGACACTTAGGATGTTAGGACACAGCACAGCAATTACTGGTATGTGAGTCAATTTATGGGCTCCCCACCATTTGTCCTTCCTGGTAGAGAGGGGATGAAAGACTTGTAAATTTATGTCCTGCTTTTTGGCAAATAGTGGGAAGGCAGAGAGTTTGTCTCGTATCTATTTCTTCTCAACTGCCTTCAGTTCAAAAGAATACTTATTTCGAGGTGGCATATTCTGGTCTCCTACATTGTATTCAAACCAGGTTGTTTCTTCTTCCCCATTGTCATTAATCTTTTCATTATCATATTATTCCTCTTAGCACAGTCAGGACATAACATATTATCTTCTAGGCCCAGGGATGGGAAAGTGCAGGCTGGTAACAGGGAGAGAGAAATCATCTTCCTGGGAGTGGCAGGCACCCCAGGCCTGAACTTCATGAAACTGCAGGCAAACACAACCTTTTGTGTCTGCTGAAAGAAATGTGCCACGGACCACACACCATCTGACGCCAGAAGGTTGAATCAAAAAGGCCTCGACAGAAGCAGGAATGGAATGTGAATTCACAGCCTTAAGCTGAACAGCTCTTGCAGCCATTCTTGTCCATGATGCCAACATGGATTCCTGAGCTGAGGTTATTACTTCAATTGTATTAGTCTCTTCTGCTTCCTCATTCATCTTGTAGCTTTCCTGAAGCCTTGCTCTGTTGGGCACTGCCTTGTGTTTCCTCAAATATGGCCATAATCTGGCCTCCTGTGATGTTTCAGGAATATCATGTTTCTGTTCAGGATAAGAATGCTTTTGAAGCCTCAGATAAGCTTCTATTTTCTTGCCATCAGTACTCAAATTGAGTTGTTGGCACCAGTTCCACAAAATGTCCTAGCACACGTTATTAATGGGAGGCAAAATGGTCGGCAAGGGAAGGATTGGTGTTTTACTTCCAGCTTTTGGGGAAGCTTTGAATTGTTCATTCGTTCGAGGTAGATGGACTTCATTGTGTTTCCTAGGCTTCCTTGGTTTGACATCAGAAATTGAAGCAACACTTGGTTCCATTTGTTGTTCTATATTTGGTTCGTCTTTAACTGGAACCAATGTCAAAATCACACTTTCCTCATCATTTCTTTCCTCCTCAAAGAAATTCTTCTTGCTGCTATCATAATTTGAGCAGCACCCAGGGGAAGGCTAAGCCAGTAATGTTAAGGATATATGCATTTACTCCTTTTAATCTTGAGTGTGTCTTCTTGTGCCTCCGCCGTCATCATGAGAAGAATGTGCCTTGGCTAACCCTCTAGATCAAGGATGATGAGAGACACAGGGAGCTGACCCAGATCCAGCTTAGATAAGCAGACTGCCCAGCTGACCCACAGACAGGTGAGCAAAATCAACATTTATTGCTGTGTGTCATAGAAATGTTCTTTTGTCATTATTTGCCAATAGCTGACTGATACAATCATTATGTCTGTTCTTAAAAAGGACATGTTTTGAAATGGAAAACTTACATAAGCAGATGTATAGTGATCCATTAAATACTTTGAGTCAATACAAGATATTGGACAGGCCAAAATATAGTTCAAAGTTTCCTCAATAGAAGCACAAAAATCACAGAAAGTGATACTGCAGTGCCTAAAGAGCCTGCTAGGGAATCAGTGCATCAAAGTCATGAGATGGGTGAGCAGCAAGCCTCTGTATGCTTTGGTTTTGACTACTGCGGACATCCTTTGTATTGTTTTTTTTTTTTGGGGGGGGTCTCGATTTCATTTAGTTCTGCTCTTATCTTTGTTCTTTCTCTTCTTCTGCTAACTTTGGGTTTGTTTTGTTCCTGTTTTTCTAGTTCCTTCAGATGTAATGTCAGGTTGTTAATGTTGGCAAAGCTGTGGAGAAAAGGGAATGTTTATACACTGTAAGGATATAAATTAGTACAACCTCTATGGAAAACAGTATGGTGGTTTCAAAGAACTAAAAACAGGTCTACCATTTGATCCAGCAATCCATTACTGGGTATCAACCCAAAGGAAAAGAAATTATTATATCGAAAATATACCTGCACTTGTATGTTTATCACAGCAGAATTCACAATCACAAAAATATGGAATCAACCTAAGTGTCCATCAATGGACAATTGGATAAAGAAAGTGTGGTATATATACACAACGGAATACTATTTAGCCATAAAAAAGAATGAGACCATGTCTTTTGCAGCAACATGGATGGAACTGGAGGCCATTATCTTAAGTGAAACAGACACAGATATACAAATACCGCATGTTCTCACTTACAAATGGGAGCTAAATAATGTGTACATATGGACATAGAGTGTAGAAATATAGAAAATGGAGGCTCATAAGGGTGGGGGATGGGAGGGGGTGGATGATGAGAAATTACTTAATGAGTACAATGTACACTATTCAGGTGATAGATACCCTAAAATCCCTGACTTCACCACTACACAATCTGTGCATACAGCAAAATCAAACTTGAACCCCATAAATTTATACAAAGTTTTTGGAAAAGATTCAGCAGTGGCCCTGAGGAAGGAACCATCAACTCTTGAGAGGCCAGGGACTAGATGAAGTCTCTCTCAGAAGAAAAGTCAAGATTCATGCAGGAATTTGGTCAGATCTGTGTGCATGTATGTGTGTGAGAGAGTGGGGCAGGAAGAGGCTTAGTGTCCATGAAACTATGTATGCTTCAGTAGAGTCTAATCTAATGGCAAGTTCTAACCTTATTTTGGAAACTCGAAGAGACTTTAAAGTATGGAAGCAGGGACTGGGGATTTTTTGCCATACATGACACTGACTGATTGTTCTAAGTCTTAGGGACGGAGAAATGTTGGCAGTCGATCTCTCCTTGTTGAATTTTTTTTGTTTGATGCATACTCAGCATCTTAGTGCAATACTCTGGTTAGGATGCAAACCACTTCACATTGTTAAACAGTGATAAATAGGTCCAGATGTTTTACTTTAAAAGGACATTTTAGTTAACGTTCCTTGAGGAGAAGCAATAGTAACCAATGTTGCCCATTTGTCTGGTCATTCCGGGCTCCAGATGGCTTCATCAGTGCTTGAGGAAATAGAAATGTTTTATCGAGCTGGAGGATTAAATATGTGCTGAGCCACTTCTACCACTTTGGAAGGAGTTTTAAGTTAAAGCCTACAGCATTTCTGGTAAAACTCACATGAAGTGTGACAAAGTAATCAAAACTGTCTCTACTGAAACGGAATGAGTGAGCTGCTATTGTCTTTTCCACACCCAACAATTTCTAGAACTGTCCCTCTGCTTACTAGCAGAAAAGCACTTTGGAATATTACTAACCAGATTTGCAAAGGGAGTAGTTTCAGGACAAAAAAAGTAAATATATACAGTGTCCATCTCTGAGATCATTGATTAAATATCCTGTTGAAGTCATTGAAAATAGGATTACCCTATTAAGATACCAGTAGGAGATTGGTTTGAAGTCAGTGTTGGTTTAAAAACTTGAAATATATTTCTTGTAATGTTTGCCTGATTAGTTCTGAGTGATTGCTGTGGCAATGAGATATAATTGTAAACATTATTCCACACTAACACTTCTAAAAAATTTAAAATAGTTTCTATTAGTAGTTACCACAAGTGACAGAAACCGAATTTGAACTAGCTGTGGTAGATTGTAAATGTGACCAAAAATCTTTTCCTGCCTTCCCAGGCTGTAATCTCCTCCTCCATCCCTTAAAGCTGTGTTGACCACGTGACTTGCTTTGGCCAATGGGACACTAAAAAACGTGATGCACTCAGAAGCTAGAAAAGTGCTTACACATTGAGGCTTGTCCTCTCTTGCAGCTAATGGGACCCTGCAATTGCTGTGCGGAGAAGCCAAACTAGCCTGTTGAGGACAAAAATCACGTGGCCTGGTCATCTCCACAGCACCACAGCCAACAGCTATCTGCCTGTCAGCCCATAAGTGTGGTCATCACTAGATTACCCAGCTACCAGTTGACTATAGATGCACAAGTGAACCCAGGTGAGGTTGGTTAATCAAGGCAGCCCAGCCTGGAATCATCCAGCTAATCAACATTATTAGGAGCTCAATAGATGCTGGTTTACGCCACTGAGTTTTGGCGGTAGTTGTGTCGTAAAAGCTAATTGCTTAGCTTCTTTTCAGCTTAAACCAGAAAGAAAATTTGTTGGAAGACCTTTGTATGTTCTGAGGCCAAAACAAGTAGAAGAAAGGATGGGATATACTTCGGCCTTAGGAACGAACAGAACTAAGGCTCTGAACATCAGCACCAAACGAAACTCCCCATCATCTTAAGTGAAGATATTTTAAAGGCTCATACAACTGGTAAGCAATAAAATTCAAATATTGACCCAAGTAAGACTTCAAATCCACTTTCTTCTCTACTCTTTGGCCTACATCTTTCCATTTTTCTCTGCCTGCTCCACCATTGTTTTACCCTCTGTTTCTGTGCACTCAACTTTATTATTTTTAAGATTCCACACATAAGTGAAATTTTTCAGTATCTTTTTTCCTGTGGCTTATTTCACGTAGCATAACGTCCTCCAGATTCATCCATGTTGTCACAAATGGCAGAATTTCCGTTTTAAGGCTGAACGATATGACACTAAGATATCCCATTGTACCACAACTTTGTTATCCATTCGTTCATCAATGGACACTTCAGTTGTTTTCATAACTTGGCTACTGTGATTAATGCTGCAATGAACATGGGAGTGCAGATGTCTTTGAGGTGATGATTTCATCTCTACTGGGCATATACCTATAAGAGGGATTGCTGGGTTATATGGTAGTTCTATTTTTAATTTGGAGCCTCCATATTATCCACAGTGGCTGCACCAATCTACATTCCTACCGACAGTGTACAAGTGTTCCCCTTTCTCCACACCTTTGCCAACGTTTATTTCTTGTCTTTTTGATAAAAACTATCTTAACAAGTATGAGATATCTCATTGTGGGGTTTTTTT